AAAAAAAAAAAAAAAAAATGAACAGATGAACCTCTTCCAGAAGTATGATTTTCAATAAGTAACCTCCCTTATGTGTATTTTTGTTGAAATTGTTCGCGCCATATTGGGCCACGTTGTGTACGTGACAAGCCTGACATCATTTCAACTTGCAGCTGATCTTCCCGCGTTGTCTCCCACACACATCACAGATCCCTTCCCTTCTGTCTAGCATTACTACAATCCTCTGGTCTAAACTGCTAGTATCTCTGGCTCAGAAAACTACAATAACTTTTCAAATGGTTTCTTACTTTCCCCCTTGTTCTATGAAAATCATTTCTCTACTGAGAACCAGTATGGTTACTGAAAATGAATAAATCAATTAAACTCTCTATTTAAAGTTCTTTACTATACTGAAAACACTTTTTCAACATCATTGTTTTCTATTATCTTGACATTTTATTTCTCTATCACCATATGGGATTGCTTCTTTTCTTTGCGAAAGAAAAAGAACACAACTCCTGAAAGGAAAGCACCAGCTACATGTACCTAATAGACCAGGCACACAGTAGGTATCAAAACAGCTGTGTTAAGTTATTGAATGAATACAAGGTGTTATCCATATTCTAAATTCTTATGGAAAATCTCTAAGAGCTTGCATATTGAGTGATGTAGGACTCCCTTTTATCCTGAGTATCATCATAAAGTTCAAAAACAGAGGAAGCTCGAGAGGTGCAGAAGTGACTTCTAATGATTAGGCTCCCACGGAATATTTATATCTTGAATAAAATCTACTTAACAATTCATGACTTTCCAAAATTCATATGAAAAGGCTAATGCGATCCTCTAATTTCTTATTCTTTCCAGTCCTAAGGCTAAGTGTGGCTAACGGGGCAACAGGGTAATAATCTTCATTATCTCCTCCTCTTTACAAAATTGCTCACGAAGCGCTGCAAATGAAAAGGGGCCCACTGGTGCTGAAGGATGGCCAGGCTAAGTGGTGCTCTTTTTGTTTATGCTAATTAAGTAGGTTGCAGTCTGGTTACTTAGCAATATCCTTCATTGAGATGCTCGGTGCTGGGAGCTTAATTACATGTTTTATGCCTAAAGTGGTCATTATTAAGACGTGAGCAGGCAATATTCATAGACTGGATGCTGTCCTCCGCGTTGCTAGGTCTGGCACAACCAAACTCCTGGAATATGCAAATCCATTTATGCACAAATGTGCTGAATGACATAGCTGTATCTCACTACTTCTCAGCTTACTGAGCACAAAAAAAAGGAAATTACTTTTTAAGTAAATTTATTTTAAGGCATATTTAAATATTGTACCTTTTGTTTATAGTTCAGAAATTTTTCTCTCAGCTTTAGTGTATTTCTTGCTTGTATGAAGCACTGTCTACACTTGCTTTCAACTGGTGTGAATACGAACTTCCTAAATCAAGCCGTTCAGCATATGTGGAAGAACAACTCCAATAAAATCTAATTTCTCAGGGGCTGTAATGGAACCCATCAATATTGTGTGTTAGGGAAAAAAAAATCCATGACCTTATTTTTTTTTTTTTGCAAACAGAAAACAAACTATCGATTCCTTCAATAGAATTTTACTGTTTTAAGAGTTCTCACACACCAGCCTCTTGCCACTATCTGTGCAGCAGAGATGAAAATGTGCTGATTTTATGCAACTATAACTGACTAGAGAGCTCTCCATGGAAGTAGAGCAAACAAATGTAAACAACATAAAATATTTAGATCACAGAAACATCACAAGCGATTGCAGCGATGGTGTGAATTATGCTTAGTGGACAGACAATGTATGTGTGGAACAGCAACCAGCTGATGGTCCTCCAACATACAGACAAGAGACAAAACAAAAGGCTAGAAATGCGGCTTAATGTCCATTTTGTCTCACATTAATGAATCCTCTAAATATTTAGCCTAGAAAACATATGGAGCAACTTTTTCCTTGGAAGCCCCAGGAAGACACAGAAATGGCTTCACATCTTTGCCTCTCCAGTGAGTCTGGCTGCCAGTTGCGAATCAGCAGCAGGCAGGGACGGCAGGCTAGTTAGTGAAAGCATAAGACATCTGAAAAAGGACATGAAGCCCCGTCCTTTCATCATCTTCTCACTGGTGTTTGTCTCACACTGTTCCCTGTAATACTGTTGCATCAATCCTGAATCATGGTGCCTTTTTAAAATTTTTTTTCAGGATGACACCTCAGGTAATCAAATAGTTGTTCAGGAAAGTGACCTGTTAGAGAAAAATTTCAGCTAACAAGCGAGGAATGAGATATTTCTGTATCATTACTTTGCATTCCTTGTTGAAATAACGGGTCTGGGTAATAATAATAATGAGTGGTTATAAAAGCATGCAGCGGAAAAGATATGGGGGATTTTATGATGGATAGGAAGCACTTCAACAGAAAACTCCTGTGATAAATCTTAACAAAAAGAAAAAACCAGACACATGCAACCCCTAGTGTAAAGCAGCAAGAAATACACAAATCACCTTCCAAATAAGCCCCAGCTAGATCAAGTTCCTAGTTTAAACACCAGTTCACACCAAACGGAGAGGATAAATGAGCACATTAAACAGCACCAGGTGAATGCAACCAACAGAATTCTAGTATGTGCAGAAATTTAGAGTACTACAAATAACCTGACCCAAAAAGGAGAAAAAGAGGAAGAGGAAACCTACAGATTAAATAAGACCTAGGCAATACATTAATAAAGATGATATGTGGATCTTGACTTTCCTTTGGAAACTATTTTGAGAAATCCAACTATGACAATGACATAAGTGACACAAGAAGAAATACAAACACTACTTGAAAGTACTGAGAGATTACAGCCTTTGCATTTAATGTGACATTATTGGTTTTATAGTCACACCTGAAAAATACATGAGCTCTCACTGTACAGAGACATACAACAAGGTGTTTCCTGATGTTACGATGCCTATATTTTCTTGCAAGTAATCCTTTCAAAGAGAAAAAAAGAGGCTGAGATGAGACAGTATTTGCATCGGTTGATAACTAGTAGAGCTGGGTTATGAGAGTTCACTATAATACTTGCTATATTTATGATTTAAACTTATCACAATAGTTTAAGATAAACTATAATTATGATTAAATCTAATTACATTACAGGTTTGTAATCATAGTGCAACAACTTCTTTTATGATAATCTTTATAACCATTAATACCTAAGAACTGAGCTGTTCAAATTCTCTTGATTCTGGCTTTTAAAATTTTCATTTATTTGTAAATATTTACTAAAAATTGAAACAATCTCAGACTCACAGAAGTACTGCCGATGGGGACAGTATCTTGTCATTTTTAACATGAACCATTTAGGAGTGAATTTGCCAGCGAAAAATCCAATTACCATATTGCACTTCTGTGTGTATTTCTTATAAATATTATATTACAGAAGAACATTCCATGATATTACACAGATCCAACAAAGTCACAAACTGATACATTGGTAACATCTATTCCTTGGACTCTACTCTAGCTTAGCCAACTATCCTAAAATATTTTTTTCTTGTAGCAAGGGAATCCTGTTGCCCTGTATAATTAACTTTCAGTCTGAAAGTTTTTTCAATTTATTTCTTGACTTTGAGGTTTTGACGCCTCTGAAGAGTCCTTTACAGTTTATGTTTTTATGATGTTCTGTCTTGACTAGGTTCAGGTGTACATCTTTGGGAAGACCATCAGAGAAGTGAGGCCGGGCTCCTCTTCTTGCATCCTACCAGGTGACCCACAATTTGAATTTGTTCCATTATTAATGATGATCAGTTTTCTAAGTTAAAGTAATTTCTGTAGGGCTTCTCTACTGGAAAGTGACTCTTCAAAATTAAGATTGTTTTTAAAGAGGAATGAACTATGAAACAATGTGAATATGTTATGCAATGGCCTTTAAATTGGATAAATTACATATCATGCATTATGGATTAATTTTTAAAAATTTTATTCAATAGGCTATAAGGCATTGCTTCCATTTATTTTGCTGTTGTCTCTATATCAGATTTGCTCAGGGCAAGTTTTTTTGAGCTAGCATCTGGGTCTTTCTGGCATTTCATCATTATGTGAATCCCTGCTTTACAGCAAGACAAGATGCTTCATGCCCTCTGCTTTCTTTTCACTAGCCTGAGAGTCAGCTATTCTTCAGGGACTTCTAGCTCTTTTACAAAACGATACAGTAATACCTCGGTTCATGAACACTTCTGCTCATGAACAATGCTGTTTGCAAACAGAAACGTCCAGCAAAAGTTTTGTTTCTGTTCATGACCCTGAAATGGGCGATGAACACAACCACAGCCATATTCCCCAGAATGGTGGAACAAATCAAGGCCTGAACCCTGTACTACTGTAGTACACAAAAGTTAGTGACAATGTCCTATGTGTGCTACATCCTATTTATCACATCATTTCTGCTTCTAATACAGTGAGTATTAGAAGTGCTGCCTGCCTCACACCCACGTGCCACAAGTCCCACCAAAGCTCTCTCTACCTGCTGCACTGTAACTCCCTGTGCATTGCTTCCCTTCATAACCTTCTGGGAACTAACTCCCCATTGCAAGCCACTCCTCCACATGGAGACACTCCTCGCGCGCCTGGGCTCCTATACTCCTTGCCCAGATGCCCCTTCCTGTGGACGTGGTCCTCAGCCTGAATGAAGCCTGCCAGTATCTCATGGACCACATGTGGACAGTCACTCCATCACTCTCCGCATATCAAAGGGCCTTGGCACGAATACCTTTCTTACCTTGCCCACCACAAAGGCCACCACTTTGCGGGGTTTTGACACCTCTGAAGAGTCCTTTGTGATGTATGTTTTTCATCGTTGACATCTGGGCTGCTCTCATGGACCACTCCCCTTGCTTCTTGAGTTCTGGCACCCCGTCCAGTCTCACTCCACCTCAGCCCCATACGAACTCCCTCGTCTTCCTCTGTGCCTTTGACACTGCATGCTGGGCAACTAGTGTAGGTCTCCTCCACCGCAGTTTGCTCGATTCGGATGCCGGCCCTCGGCAGCCCTCCTGCACTGAAGCTCTCTACACCTCACTCGGCTTTTCATGTGTTTTTAATGATTTATTCTGAGATAATAGTATATTTACATGCACAAGTGTAAAAATAATTCAGAGATATTCCTTTCAGTCTTTACGTAATTTCTCCTGAAAGTAACACCTTTGAAACCCACAATGTAAGATCACAAATCAGGAGAATGACATGAATACGATGGAGCAATCTTATTCAGATTTTCCAAATTTTGCACATACTCATGTTCATATGCACTTAGATGTATGCAATTGTAATCACAGCTGGTCTATTCATCTATCTATCTATCTATCTGTCTGTCTATCTATCATCTATCTGCCATGATAATCAATGTACAGAACAGTCCCTTTGCCACCAGAAGGCCTCATGCCCTTTACAGTCACACATCTTCCTCTGGAGTTGCCACCTGCTCAGACCCTGGCAACCACTCATCTGCTCTCCACTTCTGTGAAAGTGTTATTTAAAGAATGCTACACGAGGAGAAGCATAAAGTAAGCAGCCCTTCGGTAGTGGCTTTTTCAACTTAGCCTACATCCCTGGAAATCCATCTAAGTTATTACTTTTATCAGTAGCTCATTACTTTCTGCTGTTCAGTTGTAGTTAGCAGTATGGGTGTATCCCACTGTGCTGAAACATTCACCCATGGAAGCCCATCTTGGTTTTGGTCATTATGAATAAAGCTATGACATTTTGGTCATTATGAATAAAGCTAAACACTTATCCACAGGCTTCTTGCACATACACTGTTTGACTTTTAATATTGTACAGTAGCTTTTCTTAGAGAAACCTCCCCAGTCAGTTTGAGGGGCAACCCCATTCTGGGCCACCATGCTCTGCAGCTCATACCCATTGATCACAAGTATCAATGGATTCCTTGCTCTGTCCCACCTACTGGATCTTGGGACAAAATACTGCAGTTGGTGAATATATGGGGCTTCAGTGACTACAAACACTTTCCATTTGGAAAAGCTCTATTTTCATTTCTTCTTTGCTTCTTTTAAAATATTCTGTTTCCCTTCCTTCCCTTCCCTTCCCTTCCATCTCTTGTTTTCCTTTCCATTTGTAAAAGATCTCCCTACTCCTCTTTCAATCACATGCTTCTCCTTTCAACATTTCTCTAACATATACTTTTTCTAACACTTTGGTTGGGTTTATAACAGCATCAATAGGCATGTGTGTGTATGTAACTTTTTCTCATAAGACAAAAAAAAAACCCACCATATATTTCCATCCTTTGCACTAAATTGTATTTGTTTACTTCAAGAATCATTTAACTGATTTTTTTTTTGTGATTTCTTTCTTTCTCCCTGGGTTTCCTGACAGGAGATAGGAAGAAGAGACTATGAATCCTCAGATTTACAAAGAATTAGGGAAAGCAAATATTTCTTACCAAATCAAACCATACCTAATTATAACTTTGTTATTTAATACGCATCCAGATTTCTAATCAAACTTTTACATAATATATTTATGTTAATCAAAGTCCTTAACAATTATATAATTATAATGATTTCATCAGAGGACAGACTACATTGTATTTTAATTTAAGTTATATGTAGAGGGGAGAAGAAAAGAGCCGTCTCTTTCATTAAGAAATAAAGTTAATTCACAATCAACATGAGATGAGCTCAATCTCTGACAAACCTCTGAGCTGCATTTTTCCTCAGCAAAGACATGGCTTGGCTTTTGGAAGCATACACAAGTCCCTGGACCCATATTTCTCTGGACATATTTCCTTTCTGCCCAGTTGGCAAGTAGTTCACTGAAGTGATAAGAACAAAGACCAAAACACATGGTTTAAAAATGTAGCACTATGTTTTTAGCGTCCTCATTTCCCTTTTCCTGGTCTGATATAAATTATACAAGAGTCACATGGTGCAATGATGTTGATTTTCTGCCTCAGAACAAAACTTTATACTAAATGGGATAATGAAGCCCAGGTCAGATTGGCCACGTGCAGTCATCCCAATCTGATTTACAATAGTGGGTGCACATTATTTATCCAAACTAGATCCTCAGACACTGCTGCTGATGGTTTCTCCTCATTAAAATAGTTTTCTCGTCTTTATGTAAATCCCACATTGCTGCCAGAGTTGGGGAGAGGAACAAGAAGACATCTCAAGGTTCTGACTTGAATTTTTAGGTACTTTACATTGATATCATAAAACAGTTTCCCTGGACCATAATCTCTTTCTCAGAGATTAATTATATATTTGCAGGATACTCTCATCTTCTCTTTCATCATTTAGGACTCTTCTGTTTCTGAATAATGAAGAATCCAGTTAAACGTCTTATATTAAGTATGGCTTGATCTAAAAATTCACGTGAGAAACCCACCTAGTCCCTAAATCTCCTGGATTTCTGCCCTCATATTGACATTATACTCAGATTCTATCTGGTCCCATTATGTCTGCTAGCATTATGTGACAAGGACAGAAACTAACAGAGAACTGAATTATTTTAAATTTTATACAACAAGTCTAGAGATTGTTTCTGGTTATTAGTCAATTACTAACAAGGAAACCAAAATGTCCACATTAACTTAATAGATTAAATGTGTATAGAGGATGCATTTCCAAAGTAAATCCTATTTTCACTTGCATCTATGCCATTGCTGCTGTTGTCTGATCTCTGTGGGAAAGCCCTGGATTATAAGGACCCTCCTTGGAGTCGTTGCAGCAACCCTATGGGTGGGGGTCAGGCCTTGCATCTGTGCTTCTGGTTTGATATAGGACACTGAATTAAACTTCTCAGTTAGAGTTTAAAATAGAAAACGACAATGAAAAATTTGAGTTAAGAAAATAAAAAGACAAGCCCCAAACTAGAAGAAAATATTTACAAAATATATATTTCAAAGAGGACTGGTAGCCAACATATAAAAAGAACTCTTAAAACCTACCAATAACAAAACACACAATCCAAAAGAAAATCATCAAAAAGATGTGAAAGATATTTTCACCTAAGAAAGGAGACATATGGATAGCAAATAATCATTAGAAAAGATCACTAAAATACATGTTTTAAGGGAATTACAAACTGAAGCAATGAAATAATAACTGCTTGCCTTTTACAGTGGCTAAAATCCACAACACTGGCAACACCAAATGCTGACAAGGACACAGAACAATAGGAATTCTCATCCTCTGTGGGTGAGAATGCAAAACACTGTGGAAGAAAGCTTAGCAGCTTCAAAAATTGGTGGGGAGCACACATTTGTCTATTGAAACTTGGCATTTTCCCCCTTTTTTTTTAAGTTTGGTACCAGGAATCAAACTCAGGACCTTGTACCTGCCAGACAAGCACTTGTGCCACTGAGCTATATCCCCGGGCCCTGTTTGTTGAAACTTGAACATATATGTCTAACCACATTTAAATCAGGACAACTGCATTGTCATTTGACTGCATCAGGGCATGCCAACATGTTTCCTTGTATTTGCACACATAAAAATTGACACTTCCTGCCCCCCTTAGTTCCCTGCACCTGTCTGTATTCTACCTCTCTAACCGTGAGTGAATACCCAGAGGTACCTTTAAACACTCTCTCAGCTTTCTATTCTCTTCCTCATTACTAAATCGCCTAGGTTTTAGCCATTGCTTTTAGGACACAATCTTTTTCTTCAACAGATTTAGTGGAAGCAAAAGGAATCCATACAGTGAATAACTGACACCACCCCCGCCTCCGCAGTTAGAGCAT